CTGATCCCTGGAGCTGGGGACTGTGAGCACCAAGGCTCTGCCCACGGAGCGCATATCCGCTCTGAGGCCTCACGACATTCGGGGTCTCGCACGGGACACACCACAACCGAAGGAGGATGGGTCTTAATTCTGTCCAGGAATTTCCAGGGAACATCTAATGTTTACTAAGCTGCAGTTTGCTATGCTCAGGCTGTGGAGATAAAGTGACAGGCAAGTGAAACTTTCTACTCTCTCAGAGAAAATGAAATATTGATCACTTATCATAAGAAACAGGGACAGGGCATCAGTGGGCTCCACATGGTGAATACACGATGAGTTACTGACACTTGAACATTACCACCGCTTGCTACACCTTAAAGTATCACCGATGTTCCCCGATGACACGTCCCAGCAAGTATTTAATGACTGTACCTCACAGAGCCTTTAAGGATTTAACATTAACTCCCCCAGAATTTCATTATTTGTATAAAACATTCATTTGTGCACATCTTTAGGTAAGGTAAGAGATCCTTTCTGTTTTCAGGAAAATGAAAATGAAGGCCACTTATGTTGTGAAGAATTGCAACTGTGATACCAGGGTCTCAGAAACAAGAACATTCTACTTAAATTACGTTCTTTCTAAAGACGAAGAGGACACAAGAGCCATAAACACGTAGGGATTGTAAGAGCAGGGTGTTGATGCAGAATGGACAAAACCAGTGACGTCTCTGAAATGATAATGTTGCTTATTAACCATATATGTTGTGATAGGTCAAAGCTGAGGTCAAACAGAAAACATCAATTGAGCCATTTCCCTGAATAAAGCTCCAGGGTGCAATATTCTAAGCACTTTATTCAATAAAAAATGCTTTTAAAACGGTGCTTTGGTGATTGGGAAGCATTGCCATCATCCGTCAACCTAACTGCAGCAAAGTTCAATAAGCTAAATAATGAACCATTTAGATTATTTTCCTTGGGCCTTAGGGATTTGCAAACATTGCATCAATAGAGCTCTTTAAAAATTATGACGAACTCTATTTTCTTCATTTTCAGATTTAAAATATGTGTTAGGGATTTTTTTTAAGATTATTTAAATGGGCTGCCACTTTTAATCATTGTCCAATCTCCAAAGTAGAAAGAAATTTTAAACAAGGAAAAAATTCTAATTATAAGATTAGCAGTTTCTATCTGATTCCGGTAATCTTGGAATTGATGAGATTCCCTCTCTATTGTGAATACCTAATTTAAGATTTAGAAAGTGTTATGAGTTATATAAAAACCTAAAGATGAAAAATTCCATGTATTTTCAATAAAATTTATATTTACTTTTGGCAGGTAACAAGGTAAATATGTAATATAGTATTTTTACAACTTCTAATAAAATTTTTCTTGAGAAACATCTGTGGTCTCAGTTTCCTAGGCTTAAGACTGGGAAATAGTTCTTTTTCAATATATAATCACATGCAATTTTTGAGAATTTCTAGAATGTTATATAATACAGAAAAAAATGTGTTCAACCCTTTCTTTGTATGAAAAGGAACGTGGTCCATTTCCTTTAAAGGGCCGTGACCAGGGGCCCACATCTGTTTCAAAGCATACAATGGAATGCTAAGATGGCAATTTATACATCATCTAAATCTTAGCTCTTCCTCTGAGCAGTTTCTCCTAGATTTCCTATTACCAAATAAAAATATGTGCTACATACACGATTCCCAAAGCTGCATGCAGTTTGGCCACAACAGATGTCTCCATATTTATTGGTCAACACAATCTACAGAGTGTACCAGTGGGGTGCTAATGAAGTCCCGTCCCCCGACCAGCAGACTCCAGACCAAGCACACCGAGGAGGAGAGCCGGAGAGATGGCGGAACTGGGCCTCCCCACGCGCCCCGTGCCCGCCTCCCCGTGCGTGATGAGCCGGCTACCCTGCGCAGCTCCTCAACCACCTGCCACACCGCGGCCAGTCCCAGTGTTCACAGGCTGCGCCAGCGATCCTGAGAAGAGCTGGGTGACGCTGGGACTCCACAGCGATGGGGATTCGCCATCACAAGGTCATCAGGCAGCAGAACGGGGAAAGACCTTTTACTGCGAGACTCGAGACTCGGCCTGGCTATGGACTCCAGGGCTCTGGCCCCTGCTCGAACATCAAGGCCTGATATTCCCAGGAAACTGATTTCTAGATAAATACCACGGACAGCTCCCTCCTTTCTGCCCAAGGCAGGGCCGTCCCAGCACCTCCCTGCAGCCTGGGCCTCAAGGGCCCAGCTGAGACCCGCACACCCGCGGGGGGGGCGGTCCGGGTGAGACCCTCACGGGGCACAAAAGAAGACAAGAGTCTGAGGAGGCCGAGAGAGAGCACCGCCCCTCCCCTCAAACACCTGTGGTACCGCGTCATGCCCAAAAGGTGCCGGGTCGACCCCCACAAGCTGTTATGAAGGTGATGGTTCAGGATCAAACAGGCTTTGAGATCCTTCTTTGTCTTCAGGCTCTTTCATTCTTTTCAGTTTAATTTAAAAACTAATTATAGGAATAATAAAGTTACTGTAAAAATGTCTAACAGTAATACAACAGGGTTGGAAGTTCCCCCTACCCCAGCCCTGACGAGCCCACTGTCAGCTGGTTGTGAACCAACAAGAGCATCCTGGGTGGGGTGCAGGCAGAGGCGTGGGAAGAAGTTGGGGTGCACGGGAATGACTCGAGCACAGCAACCTGAATGCTTCTTGTCTGCGAGGCGCTCTGAGCCCCACGCAAGCTGTGTGACCCGCAGTGTGCCCGGGACACCGGGGGTGCGTGAGGAGGCCTGCTCCAGCTAAATCAGCCCCGAGCAGAACCCCGCAGTGCAGGGGGCCCAGGGCTGCAGGGGTGTGGCAGGCAGCTGCAGGGGGCGGGGCGGGGGAAGGTGTCTCCATGTGAGCGAGCATTGCGGGGAGGCCTGGAGCTAGTGAAACTGGTCTCAGCTTTCCGCGTTTAAAGAAAAACAACTGAACTTTCATCTTTTTGGCTGTTTTTCACCACCTCTAAGCTTTTACATGAGTAATGACATGTCCTAATTTCTAAAGTAGCTTGTTTAGTTATCATGGGCTAATTTCCTGACTAAATAAACAAGGCAGTGCCTGTTTAACTACCTCTTCAAAAATAAATTTGGTTTTCAAATAATACAGCGGTGCATAAAGCTTAGTAAAACGCCGAGCGTCTGCTGGTGCACTTCGGGTTCCTCGTCATTATGAAGTCAGAACAAGGTAACCAGGTCCCAAGTCTCTGTCTCCAGGGTGTGGCCCTCCACCTGCTGGCCGCGGTGCTTCCCGCACACCATAGGGAGCGCCCAGGGAAGACTCACAAGACTCAGTGGTTCTCAGCTGTGGGGGCCACTTAGTGCGTTTCCAGAATGGAGAAGCACCAGCCCCACACCAGGCCCAGCAATCAGCACTTCTGGAACCGAGCACAGGTACAGAAAAAGGCAGATACACAAAAAAGACTGAAGAAAACAAAACTGTCAGTCTCCGTGCCGTGCAGACAGGATGAAGGGTGCTGGTGAGCCCCTGTGGCTCCCAGGAGATGGCAGACACAGCCTGAGGGCGCCTCTGGGAACGAAACACATCAGGATGGTCGCAAGCAGCTTTCGAGGAACAAACAGGCCGGGCAGGACCGGCTGCTCCCAGCTGCAGGGAAGCAGGACACAAACCCCTGAGAGCCAGCACCCACAACACACGTCTACACAGTCCTCTCTGCCCCAGGTCCCAAGTTGGCTCTAGCTATGACTCACAGGACGCCTTTCCTAACACGGGAAACTTACAGATGTATCTTCTGACCTCTTAATTAATTTTATTTAGCACGACAGGGATGCTCTTGTCAGTGCTCCGGACTCTGCAGTGCATGTTAGGCCCCAGCACCTCAGCGCTCCTGGTTTCACGCTGTGGTTCCCAGCGGCAGCCTGAGGCCCCAGCCCCCCAGCCTCGCCGACGCGGACATCTCGGGGGGAAGCGGCGCCCAAGTTCCCTGCTGCGATGTCACCGGGGCAGAAGGACCGTGCTCTTCTGAAATACTCGTTTATGAGAATCACCGGGCTCCTCGCTCTAAAACATTAGATCTGATTTTTCTTTTTTAAACTGTGATTGACGGTACTTTTTGGGGGTTATTACATGATCCAATTTCATGGAGTATTTAAAGAAGCTTGTTTACTTATATTGCTCCCGTGGTCGTTGGCTTGATTACAGAATCATCTCAAGAACCTTGAGTACAAGGGAGAGCACAAGAAAACGTTATTTAAAATATACTGGCTGAACAGGAATTGGGCAAATTAATTTAACAATGGCTTTTATCAATCTAAAAATAAAAAAAATGGGGGCACCTGGGTGGCTCAGTCGGTTAAGTGACTGACTTTGGCTCAGGTCGTGATCCCGGGGTCCTGGGATCGAGCTCTCTGCTCAGCAGGGAGCCCGCTTCTCCTCTCTGTTGCTCCCCCTGCTTGTGAGCGCTCTCTCTCTCTCTCTCTCTCTCTCTCTCTGACAAAAACAAATAAATAAAATCTTTAAACAAAATAAAAAAATAAAAATAAAAAAATGATGTAAGGTCAGAAATGACTAATTTGCCACATTTAAGATTTTACTGTTTCTGTCTTCTGTAGATTTTTGAAATGATTTACATCCCAATTCTCTTTTGAAATAAATATGCTATAGCTAAATTCTGGCAAAACAAACAAACAAACCCGGAAATTTAACATGTAAGCCTGACAATTCATGTGGAAGTATGAAGATGGGACGATGAGGGAGGAACAGTCCAGGCTCCAGCAGCTTTGTTAAGATCTGACTTGGTCACAAATCAGTTTACAAATTCAGTAAAACTCTGATTTTTCTCATGTGTTTTCCAGTAACTCACTCTTAAGACTTTCTGGAGTATGTGGACACACGAGGACCAAATGCACGGATCCAAAAGAGCCGTGTGGCCTTCAGGCCTGGAGCTAAGGCACCATTAGATGCGATAATAAAGCTCCCCTTGCATTCACGCCCCGGAAGAACGAATTCTCACGCCTCCGGTGCAGGTTTGTATCTGACATCCCCTAAGAGGCCCCGACTGACCTCGTCAGGGCTGGCGGCCTGGTAGGTGCGGTTCCCGTCGCTGAAGTCCTGGTCCGCCTCCGCGTACTCGGCCTCCGCGGTCACGCCGGCTCGAGGCTCGTACACGGGGGTCACGTTGTGGCAGAGCGCAATGGCCTTCACCGCGTCGTGGACTCGACTGCTAACACTTTTTCTCACTTTGGGAGCTGAGGATTGGGCCTTTCTTGGTGGCGTTGAACTGGCAGCGTTCCCGCTAGCTTGAGACTGCATCTGCTAAAATACGGAACGTCACAAAACTAGAGACACACGTAGCCGATACTGGAGGTACCACCCTGCGTGATGTTTATGAGCGCATCAGTGAGGGATGAGACAAGCAGCTCTCACGTGCCGGGCTCGCTCACGTGCTGGGTCTGTGCCAGCACACTGGCGTCTCCCGGTTGGCACGGCGACCAGACTGTCTGTTGCAGTACCTAGAGTCGGAGAGCTTTCCTTTTCTACATTCACTTGATCCACGGCATTGGCTTGCTAAGTCCGTAATAAGTCACGTTTGTTCTCCGTGCAAAGATGGGGTGAGTTAAAGAGCAAACCAGAGCCACATACTCCTAACTGCTTTCGTGTCTCGTTAAAAAGTGCTGGACCTGAAGTGGACTAACGCTAAAAGCAGGGAAAAAAGACTTACGAACCTTCCTGTAATACAATAAAGGAATCCAGCCTGTCACAGCCTCTGCATGAGAGCTAGTTTTGTGCATGACAGTAACCCCTGCATCCGACGAAAACTGATCCCCACCTCCTAGTTCAGACTCTCGCGCTCCGGACATGATTCCCTGCTCCCTGCGTTTGGCCCCCCCGCACCGGGCTGTGTTCGAGGGCACTCGCCTCCGGCGGTGGGGTGGGCGGCAGGCCGTTCCCCCCGCTCCCGGGGGAGGTGGAGCAGGACCACGGAGGCTCCTCGGTTACCTTCATGGCCACTCGTGACGGCCCTCCTGAGAAAGCCAGGCTCTCGCTTTTGGACGGGGCGTGCAGAGCCACCGAGCCGTGACTACTCTGCCAGTGAAGTCACAGTGCTGTCTAATGAAGGGCTTGCCGGCGCCGCCTCTCGCCCGCGCTCGCCTCCCACCCGTGTGCCGCTCGCACGGCAAAGGGAGAGCGGCACGCAACACGGCTGACTCCCCTTAGGACTCTGTTTATCGATGGCTGTATAATTTAATTTCACACAAATGCCATTAAAGATTATGCCCTCCATCACCAAATGCTTCCGGAGGGGAAATATAATCAGATTATGAAAGATTCGTGTTACATTGCAGTGGACTTGGTAGACTATTATCATCTTAATAAAAGGACAGAATCTCAGGAATAAAATCAATTTTACAAAAGAGTACTATCTAATCAGCCAACCAACAGACAGCTTAGAAAAAAAGATTTTTAAAAGACCTCCTCCATGGAAATAAGTATTAAATACTTGCTATTTTTATACACTGACTCATCCTTTCTGTTTTTAATTTTTCTAGTAAAACAGCTTATTTGGAGCTATTAAAATCATATTCATGGATAATGTAAATTTATTTTTTTAAAAACAGATTTTACCTGGTACTGTTTTGACCTAGACCTAGATTACCAGGAGAACGGAAGTCTTTTTCCTTCTCCTTTTTAGATTTTCCTTCTGTTAATAAATGTTCTAGGTTACAAAATGCTCTGTACTGAACTGAATGACATCCAACTGAAGAAAGGGCTTGGTTTTAAGTGTATGTGTGCACGTATGTGTGCTTGTGTAAGTGATCATTACATACGATAAACACATATGCATTAGACACTTTTCATCTGACAGCGTCTTGAAAAGTAAAGTACACGCCATTCTGGTAAACATTAGAGAGGAAAGAGAAGGTTTTCACAAACTGAATGTAAGGCAGACAGTACACCTGAATTTGGTCAGAGCAGAAACTGCTCAGGGCGTGTGGCTCAGCCCCGTCTATGAAAGTCAAGTCAGAAGTATGACCGTCAATACACAGGGCCTACAGCCTCTGGGGACACCGCTGCCAGATGGCCCGTGGGAGCCTCGAGGTGGCAGTGGTCTGTGTACATGCGAGCCCCCTCTTCCCTGGGGGGCGGGCGATGTGCACGTTTGCACCTGATATATGCTGGCCTGTTACGATGGGGGTGACCGAACCCCACAACAGGCCAGCAGAGAGGCAGAAAAGCAGCCCAGGGAAGTGATGGCTGGCCCTGGGTTCAAACCACAGCCTTGTGCGTGCGGCATCTTAGACGCCCTGGGCTTGCGAGGTTTGGTTACCCAGAATCAGTGAATTCAAATGAGTGCAACACGAACGCCACCTGGGAACAGGCTAGGGGACCCGCGCGGCCTAAAATGAACTCTGCAGAGTGGCCTGTGTCTGCCTGCCCCACACCCCGTCATCTGTGGGAACACGTGGCCCTGTGGGCCCAATGTCAGGACCTGGTGAGTCAGGACCTTCCCAGGCCACAGACGCACTTGCAGAGCGCACGGCCTACAAAGTCTCCGGCAAACGCTGTGGCTACTAGGCTGTGTATTTCCTGTTCCTGCAACCTCAGAGAGCTCCTGAGGCTCCAGGGAAAGGCCAAGATTTAGGATATACGCCCCCCGCCCCCGCCCAAGGAGTCCTTATCTAATCCAGACACAGACGACGTATTTGCAGATGAAATAACGCGACATTTGAGTTTCACTTCACAGTGGTATGGTGAAGGAGGAGAAGGGCTACGGAGGGAACCGGGTCTGCGGTGCATGGATAGCTGCTGAGGCAGAATCACAGGGACACTAGGGCTCGTGATACCGTGTGTCTACCTCTGTTTATTGAAGAAGCAAAAAAATATGAGAAAATCTTATTAATTACGAAGAAACCCAGAGGAACTGGTGAGAAACACCTGTGATGTAGTATTCTACTTCATAGTCTTAAAGATACTACCTATCCTGAGTAATTTTTTGGAGTATTTCACTAAGAAAATTATTTCATATGAGTAACTGGTTTAAGGTCATTATATCCCTTCTATTATTTTACAGTATAGAAATGCTTATTTAAAATTGGTTCAAAGACTGCTTCTTGATTTATAAATTAGAACTGAGTGCTTTAGGACATTCAAAGATGTTTGCTGATTTCCAGATTAGCGGATACAGCGGGTTCAGGCTGGCTCGACGGAGCCGGGCACTTTTGCAAGCAGCTCCCGTGCGGACGCCGATGAGCTTACCTGTGAGTATGGATTCCTGAGGTGGCTCTGGATCTCGTCCATCGTGTCTGCTCCATAAGACACGGTCCCCAGGTGCAGCCGCTTAAACACCATCTCGTTCTGGGTGAGGGTTCCTGCAACAAAGACCAGGTCACAGAGGAAAGCTCAACAGGACCAGGACTCCCCATCCCGTACACGGACATCCATGGGCCGAGCTCTCATACCTGGGCGCCCCTCGGCAGTGAGAATGCTCTGCTCTGTAATTCCAGCAGCTAGGAATGTCCTTCCCCACTGAGGACAAGTGTCCCTCCCAGATCCCTCCGGAAGAGCGTGCAATAACGTGAAGGGCTCTAACTACCTGAAGAAAGTGTGGCCTCTGCCTTTCAGTTCAGATGCATTGTTTGGTACAAATAGAACTTCTGCCTGTTCTGAAAGAGACAGGCATGAAACTGGAAAACAGAGTCACTATCTTTGTAATTATACTCTAGAACACTGCCTGAGAAAGACATCAACTAGTCCCAAATTAGCGTGCCTACCAGTTTTTAAAAAAAACCCAATTTTGAAAAATTAAGTATTTGTCACTGAACACAAACAGATGCATTTAACCCTTAGCACCGCTTGCATCGTGTGGAGCAAAAGAAAGGTCAGTGAGCAGGGAGGCACGTTCTCTTTAGCTGGGCTTCTGCCCGGTGAGCTGCCTGGAGGTGCTCACGTCCCTCCAGATGGCCAGGGCTCACTCCTGGGGACGGCCAGTCCATGTAGGCCAGGCACTCACGTGTGCTTGAGCACGAGGAAGTGCTTCACTCCTGGTGTGTAAGGAAGGCAGTTAAGAGAGGAGCACACACAGGTCAATTTTATGAGATGTCTTGAGTCTGCCAAATACAGTGAAGTAACATTATGAAAGGCAGCGAGAGGTTAACGTTATTTCAAAAACGGTGAATTTTCATTAAAAGTGACCATAAATTCACAATGTTACACATCTTCATGACTCTGAAAACCCCAAACATTGTGTATGTGTATCACTTAATATAAAAATGCACATACAATACGCATGTATGATTTTTGCTTACTGGGTTTTCTAGAAGTAAAGCAACCTGAGGAAGCGTGAACACCTGTGAGCACATACGTCAGGTGCGGTAATGAAAAGTGCGGCCATGTAGTCTCCCCCGGGCTTTTCTGCACGTACCTCACAGCTCACAGAAGGACTACCCGCTGACTGATATAATTATCAACGTGGATATGAACAATCCTAGCCCCAGTCAGTTAGAAGCTGGGCTTTCCACACGGCTACAAGACACCCATAAGATATTAACTAACTTTCTTTGGCACACGTGACGTGGAAGATATAATACAAAATGTTTTCGCATCTATCCATGACTCCATACACACTGGTGTTCAAGACAAAATAGCTCAGAACTCCCACTAGGACAGGAAGGCTACTTTAACATAAAGGAAAACCCGTATTTCATTGACACTGTTTCAGAGACTGTTTTGATTAACCTTCTTACAAGAATGGATATAATACTATACATTAGGGTCTCATAAACTTCAAAGAGCAGCTCTTCTCAGGGATGCTGATTAGTTTTAGAAATTTTGCTTTTTGCAAAATTCTATTTAGCCCTTTTAGTACCTCAATTAAATGGCACCTAAGTTTCCTGAAATCAAAATTATGTGAGAAGTACAGTTTAAAAGGGTTTTCTGGTTATGTCATCCTCATTAAGTAAAGCAGAATTAATTAAAATAGTAGTTTATATTAAAGAATGTAATTAAAAACAATTCAGCCTCCAAATGAAATAAGGAAGTTCTAGAAATTATTTACATCAAAGATTTGAGATGAAAACGATAGTTATCTATCATCAAAAGATAATGAAATTGTACATTAATTCCTATTAGAATAAGCACCAAGCTCACCTGTTACGTAAGCCCAAATGAGCAGTTCCCTGAAAAATTATTTAATATGTTATTTTAATAAAAAATGTTTTACTTATCAGATTGACATAATCAAAGAATCTCCTGTAGACACTTTTTCCTGACATACACTGAATGTGAGGCTTCTAATCTACGGTGGGCTGCGGTAATGAGGCAGTTTATAAATACGACTACAATAAATAATACTTCTTTCAACCTTTTTATTACTAACAATTTTATACGTATGGCAAAAATAAGAATACTACACCTGCACAGTTCCTGCCAAGAATAAACTATTATTTCTTTAGGTTTGTAAACCAGTGAACGCAAGTGACCAAAGACCCTAAGTCCGGGGTCCCCTGCTCCGCTCACTAGCTCACGCCGGCGGGATCGTGGGGACGGCACTGGGGGTGCGAAGACCCACCGCTTCACAGTGCTGTCGCTGTAACTGGATGGATCACTTCCGTAGTTCTTTTTTGTGAAAACTGAAGGCTAACTGACACACACCATCTGTTTCAGGTGTACACGGCAGTGGTTCGCTATTTTTATACAAAACGCTCCCCATGGTAAATGCAGTCGCCGTCTGTCACCGCACAGTGTTACTACAGTATCACCAACCACACTCCCCAGGCTGTACTCTTCATCCCCGTGACTCATTTTATAACCGGAGGTTTGCGGCTCCCCACCCCCCTCCCCAGACCTCCCCTCTGGCAACCACCCATTTGTTCCCCATGTCTATGAGTCTGTTTCTCTTGCGTTTGGTTATTTAATAGATTCCACAACTTTGACTTTCTCGGACTCATCTCACTGAGCTCCATACCCTCTAGGTCCATCCTTTTTGTCAAAAATGGCAAGATTTCATTTTTATGGCTGAGTAACGTACGTCTCTACCACCTCTCCTGTATCCATTCATCTATGGATGGATGCTTGCGATGTTTCCAGATCTTGGCTATTGTAAATAATGCTGCTGCAAACATAGGGGTGGTGTGTATCTTTGTGAATTAGTGTTCATTTTCTGGATAAACTTCTGGATAAACACCCAGAAGTGCAATTGCTGGATCACATGGTGATTCCTTTTAACGTCTTGAGGAACCTCCATGCTGTTTTCCAGAGTGGCTGCACCAGCTTGCATTCCCACCAGCCGTACCCAGCGGTTCCCCTTTCTCTGCATCCTCGCCAACACCTGTTGATTTTAGCCACTGTGACCTGTGTGAGGGAGATGTACCATCGTAGTTTTGATTTGTATTTCTCCCACGATTAGTGATGTTGAGCATCTTTTCATGTGTCTACAGGTATTCTTTGGAAAAATGTCTTTTCAGATCCTCTGCCTATTTTTAAACTGGGGTGTTTTAATTTTTTGATACTAAGTTGTCTAAGTTCTTCATATGTTTTTGGATATTAACCCCTTACAGGGTGGATGATTTGAAAATATCTGCTCCCATTCAATAGGTTCCTTTTTCATTTTGTTGATGGGTTTCCTTGGCTCTGGAGAGGCTTTTTAGTTTGATGAAATCCCATTTAATGTAATCCCGTTTGTTTATTTTAGCTTTTGCTGACCTTCCCTGGAGAGACAGATCCAAATAAATGTTGATAAGGCCAATGTCAAAGAGATTACCGCCTGTGCTTTCCTCTAGAACTTCTATGGTTTCTGGTCTTCAGTTCTGTGTTCATCTTGTGTGGTGCAGGACAAAGGTCCAGTTTCGTTCCTCTGCACGCTGCTGTCCAGTTCTTCCAGCACTACGTACTGAGGAGACTGTCTACTCTTGCCCCCTTTGTCCTACGTTAGTTGCCCATTTACGGGTGGGGTTTTTTCTGGGCTCTTGCTTCTGTTCCCCTGGTCTGTGTGTGTGTTGTGCTGGGGCCACACTGTTAGGATTCTCTGGCTTTGCAGACGTTCCAGGGTCTAAGGTGTCACCATTCCCAGATCTCATAGCGCCCAGCTCCACCCGCTCTTCCTCTAGGATGGTTGTTCTACCCTGTGGACGCACAGCCTTGGCCTCCCCTTCCGCCACCTGGCCCGCACGCCCCCTGACCAGCAGCACCCGCCCCTGCGGGAGCGCCACCTGAGCGCCTGAGTGCGGGCACTGCCGCCCACTGCCGCCCACCCCCCCACTGTGAAACACCGGCGGAGGCTGGCAGGGGGGTCCACAGGCGTGCAGGCGGAGTGCCCCACATGCCGCCCTCCATCATCCTCCCTGTCCTTTCTGCCAACGCTCAGACCTCCTCAAGCCAGCCGCAGGGGTGTGGCGCGGGGCGTCTCCCGCTGCTACGTGTACTCTGGGGCCCTCACCGCTCATCCCGACTTGCGAGCCTCGGGAATGGCTTCTGACCTTCTGACTGGTGCCACCTTCCTCGAATAAGGACCCTTCATTCTCCTCCCTCCCTCAAACAGCACCAGCAACGTCCACCATCTACATGAAATGTCAGCTCCTTAGGATGGAAAGATCTCTTCACCATCCTTGCCAAACGTGCCCCTCGCACGTCAGCTTGCACGGCTTCTGCGCCCGCGTGGCTTCAAACACAGTCAACTCTCACATTCCCACCGCTTTCTAATAAACTTGGAATTCACTCATGCATTGGGCAAAAAACTCCTTTAAAGGCATCACTATGTGTTGGGTCTTTCGAGGCCGATGGGCCTGGGTGCGAGCCCTACTGGTCACCGTGCACTGAGGAACTTCACACCTCAGTGTGTCTGCAAATAAGGACATGACCATGGAGCTTGCACAGATGCGGCCAAGAGTAAATAAGATCGTGTACCAAGCGCCTGAGACACAAAGAGGAACAAGAGTCCCTTTCCTCAGGAACCTCGTGATGCAGAGGAAGAGACAAGAGCACGAAATGAGTCTGCTCCCGAGAGGCACTGAGCGCACTGGGAACCACGTGCAGAGTCTGCGGCTGCTGGGGGAGGACAGTGGGGAGGGCTGCAGCACGGACACGTGTCCCGTGTGCTGTGGGCGCCTTGTGCTGGGCTTCGGGGGCCTGACTTCGTCCTGGGGACTCCCGCGGGGGTGACAGTGACTGGTCAGCGCGCAGTGATGACAGTGGGGGCCACAGTCCAGGAAGGTCTAGGGGAGGGAGGGGTGATGTGGCAGCTGGACACAGAGAGGAGGACACCGATCCGGAAGCTCAGGTGGCCGACCCTCCCAGGAATGGGGGAGAAGAAAGTAGGCAGAGCAAGGCTGAGTCCGCTCAGGAAGCCGCAGATCTGAGGGGCCGGGGCTCCGCGGCT